ATTTTTTCTCAGTTTTGTTCCATATCATCGGCGTCTGCGCTGCAAGTTTCCGGTGGAAAAGTGGGAAAGTGGGCGGGAAAACTGGCCTTCGACCAGGGTGAACTGGGCGGGCTGTGTAATAAAAGCAAATAAAATATTCTTTAATATGCGACACTCGCCGCAGTCTGCTCCCTGTCATCCTGTTTTCCCATTTTCCCCTTCCCCTTTATGTGTGTGTGTGTGTGTGTGTGGGAAATTTGCATATATATTGCTTGACAAGCATTAATGTATGTAATCCCATAATTTTTTAATTAAATCAAATTGTTTCGCTCTCGCTTAAGGCTCGTGGGACAGTGGAAGCGATATTTTCTGGGAATCTGGGTCTTTTACAGGTCAAATGAATTCTCGAGGAGAAACAATAAACAAAATAAGGTGTTCTTGCTTAAGTTAATTTATTACCGCTACCAGAAATGTTTAAAATCTTGAAAATGCTGCTTATAATTTTTTAATTTAAACGCCCACACAAAAGTTAGAAAGCAACAAGATATTATTAAATTTAGAACCAATTTTGGAGCTGTCACAATGGGACAGTTTTCCAGTTTGCATCAATCATAATCAGGGGGCAGTGACTAAATGCAACTAAACCGGAATTATTCGGACTCTGCCTCCCAAGTGCAACCATTTTGGTGTAATGCTCCCTTCCCGCTGGTCTTCCGCATTTCGAAACGATTAAGTGATTTCGTGCACAGTGCATGATAATTGGATTAATATGCGTCGACAGCCAGCAGAACAGGGAATTGGAGTCGGTTAAGCAGGAGGATGAGGATGAGGATGTGGAAGTGGAAGTGGCACCCACCACCAGCGAAAGTCGGAGATGCGAGGGTGGTTTGTGGGCTCTTGCGATTTGGTCCGGGAACTCGTTAGGCGGGCAAATTACGAGGCAATCCGAGGAAGCTCCTTTCCGCAGTGCTGGTAAGTTGGCCTTTTTCTAGATTAAATACTTTAAAAAGAAAAAAAATAGAAAAAATTTAAATTTTATTTTGAAATTTTTGTTAACATTTTTAATTAATTAGACTTTTGTGAATGCAGAAGTTTTTTAGTGACTGTTCATAAATGAGAGTTATACATATCTTTTAATTTGTACTACCAAGGCTTAATAAATTTGACTTTGATTTTTTTGGTCTCAAAGAAGTCAACACTGACACCTCCCTCCACCATTTTTGGGTTAAATGCTCTCGTTATCAAAGTTACATATATCATAGCTCATTGTGCCGAGGGGTGAAACGAATAGGATAAACAGAGATTCTTTTTTGGCTACGGGTGGTTAACACCCCCCTCATGAGGGGTGCAAGTCAAGCCAATTTCAAAGAAAACATATTCTCAGTGCCATAATTGGAAAAGTCGGGGATTAAGCGATAAAGTTGTATTCTTAAAATGATAAGCGGAGAGTGGAGTTTGTGCAGGGGGGAATTATTACCAGTATTTCATGTTTAACCCTTGGCTTTTGTGTCTCGAAAACCTTCGCGAAATGAAAAGCCGGCGGAGGGCCAAACAATTTGTCAGGCGAGTCCGGCTGATTGGTAAATAGGCTCTTGGTTAAACAACTGTTGGCCACTTAGCGTTTCATTACCAAACGCTGCCGCTGGTCAAACAAATTTAACCGTTTCGATCGTTTTTTTCGGGTTTCAGAAGCCGCTTCCGAAGTGCTTTGTCTTTAAGGCGGTGCGATCAAAACCAGAAAAAAAAAAAAAAAGAAAACAGAGGAGGACTGTTTGACAAGCCAATGGGGCTAAGTGCGATGGTGGCTTTGATCTCCGAGTGGGCTGCCTAATTTATAAAATAAATCATATGTGAATTAGCGGTCAACGGTGGGTAACTCGTTTGCGTTCGACGCCGATTTCCTTTCGATTAATTTATTTGCTAAACTTCGCTCCATTGCAGCCCATTATGGCCGCGTTGTTGTTCTCGGCGATCGGTAAACGATTTTCACACCTCCTCAACGGGTTTTCCATCTGGCATTTGGCCAGCTGATTAGTGGATCGCGCTTTTGAACTAACCGCCGCTATTTATTACCTCTCAGGCACTTGTTCTCTAATTGCCAAAGCCACCCGCAATGGCACGTCTCCATTTCGTTGAGAGATGACGATGATGAGGTTGCACTGCGGGAAAATATTTGACTCTTACAATTGAAACATTTTTTCCAGAATTAATTTATTCCCGTTAGTATAATTCATATGTTTATCAAAACCCAAATATTATTGTTGTAAGCATATGTATCCTTTTACATTTATTCGGATTTCAAACTTTTAATTAATCTCATATTCGGATACACATTTTTTCCAGTGCACTCATAGTAATGTCGCGTTCTCCTTTTCTGTGGCATTGGCCAATATGTGGCACTGGGTGAAATCATTGGCATCGTCCGGCGAAAGGAAAGTTTCTCTTCGCGCCTCGATGTTAATTTCGGGCCGCCTTTGAAGCCGCTCACCGATCGATGAGAGCGCCCGACTGGGTTTCTTCTCCGGTTTCGATTTTATTATGATTTTGTTATGATCGTGATCATGATCTAATGATTTGTTGTCGTACAGTTTTCGGCCTCAGCAGCGACAGGCAAACAAAAAGGTCCAATCCGCGCTCCGATAATGATCTGGCGCAATAAAACTGAAATGCGTCTGTTAATCGCTCCGAGATACATAATAATTTTGTGCCCCAAGCAGCAACAATAAGCCACAATGGCCACGATAACAAAGTTCTGTCGACTGGCCGCCGCATATCGATCACTTTCCTGAATTTGGCTTTTAGGGGGACTCGGATTCAGACGGAATACGCAAAAATCACAGCGGCAGATCGAGTGCATAAATATTTTGCCTCAAGTCGACGCTAAAACACTCTCAGTGGCGGATCCAGAGACGATTCTTGGGGGGGGAAATTGAACTTATTCTTCGATTTGGGGTTCAAACTTATTGTTGCGAGAGAAATACAGTACAAATTATAAAACAAAAATTATCCATCCCAATTTTTTAGTATACAAAGTGGTTATATTTGAAAAGTCAACCATAGCAAACAAGTAAAATTTTCAGGTTCTCTGGTTCCAAGGGGGGAAATTTCCCTAATTTCCCCCCCGTGGATCCGCCACTGAACACTCTAAGATTCTGAAACTTAATAATTACTGAATTCATTTGTCAGACTTTTTTAAGTTAACAGGTTGATTAAGGTAGGATAACATGTTTTCTTAATTGCAATGTTTTATCAACAAAAGACTTTATATGCGATATTTTGTCAGTTGGTTATGAATTAAAAAAGAACCAAGAATCAGCTCCAATTAGTCGATCAATTACGACTTGTTTGAACTATCAGTGTTCTGATTATGATTACCGCAACCTTTCTCCACGTGCCTTCGCTAGTTATAACTACATATATAGAATCTGTATAGTTGAGTGTCTGGCAGAGTGCGAGATAAGGCGAAATAGAGCAACGTCCCCACCAGATTGCAGGGCATTTGACGTAATAAATCTTGGCCTTTTGGCCGCGGGCTCTGGGCCAACGCGAATTCAAATGGCCATTGTTTTGGCCAAAGGGCCGACGACAAATTCGGAGCCCAGACTTTTGGCCCGACTCCTGATAAAAATCGGCGGGCGCAAGCTGCGATCACCGATCTGATCGACAATATTTATGGCTCCAGGGCAGGCAGGCAGCCAGAAAAATGTCTTAGCTAGAAATTAGAGCAATTAGCTTTGAGCCGCGGCTGCCACATACAAATAAATTCCGAATAAAAAAGAACACTAATCAATCGGAATAGTAATAGGAATAGTTGATGACCTTTTTTTTCTTGTTTTGTGCGGCTACTGTGGGTGTGCCTGTCTCGAGTCTCGGCTTGTAAACAGTTTCACTATCTGATGATTATGTAATTTATAGGGTTCCTGGCTACCTGTACCGATCCGCCGAGAAGATAGTGCCACATAAATAAGTGTGTCTGGCATAAATGTCAAAGGGCATTTAATGAAGTTATTAAACGCTGTGCCCGTAGAACCCGAACCCGAATCCGAACCCAAAACCGATCTCGAACCCTGGGCTACCGTTTTCCATAGGGGGGCGTGCTCGGTTCTCCTCAGTTCAGTTCATTTTAGTTCAGCTCGGTTCGGCGATCATAATCTCAGGACCGAGATCCCTGGGTTTTCAGACTCTCTCGACTGCTTTGCATGGCGGCCCAAACTGGTTGGGCAATAAAACGCTTGCTATAACGAGCAACAAAATTTGTAACGATTCAATTTAAGGCTACATACAACATGAGCCGTACGCCGTCGGCAAAAGATGAAATAGTCGGAATAGGTATATCCTAGCCCCCCGAATCCCCCCTCGTGTTTTGTGTGTTTTTGGCGCATGTTGGGGAGACCTACTTCGAGCGGCGATTCAATTCAATGAAATTTATGAAGACATGACTGGCAATTGTAGTTACCCAGCAAACGTCGGCCGCAACCAGCCAGCTAACCAGCACAAAACGCCGAGTTCGACGATCCTTCGACGCCTACTTGGCCATTGCGATTACAACTCAATTGTGGCGGGCCAACTCGCCATTGTCAATTGATTTTCCAGCCAATATTTCACAATTAATTAAGCGCAAAATTTGTGCACAAAGTCTGGGTGTGTGTCGGCAGTCCTTCAAAAGGAAATGTCTACCAGTTTATCACAGGTCAAGACAAGATGCGAACTGATTTCCGTGTACCTGTAAAGCCAGAGGTCACCGAAATTTCTCTTTGGGTGTGGACAGGTCAAAGGGATGACCATTGATAGGTGTCCCGATATCGTCGAACAACTCTCTTCAACTGTGGGAAAACTGCTGAGGCTGTCGTTAAATGCGGACATAAAAGAAATTAGTCGGATAGTTTCGGTTTCAGCACTGATATGGTTTCACATTTCGGGTGGTCCCCGAGTTGGGATATAAAATCTTGCAGGACGTACTACTCGAAAATCAGTTAAAAATTGGTTAGCTGAAATATATCAAAATTTGTAAAGAAAGGATAAACATTTTTCAGGCATAATCTATTTATTTATTTACTTTTGAAACCCTTGAAGAGGGAGTTATTTTATATTGAAAAATCGAAAAATGCTTTATTGGCTTTTCACAGTAGTGGTCTCCCCTGGCAAAGGATTTCCAGCGAGGCACTGAGTTAGATCCTCGTAGGTTGAAGCGGTGCCCTCCACGTAATTCCGTTCAGCAGTATTCTGGCAGCTTTCCTTCTCAGTTTCCAAGGATACCAGCAGGATTTTAATGGCAGTGGCGGCCTCAGTGGCATTTGCCGACACTTGGTACATGATCTTCGATTGTTCAGCTCCCTGAGGAAAGGATAGAAAAAATCAGTTTACAAATGAAAGTCACAACTTTAAGCACTACTCAAAATTCAATTATAGTAATATTTTTTTTAATTAGGATATTTGTAAACTTACCACATTGGCAAAGCACTCGAAGACCAACACAGGGTCCAAAATCGAGGAGCAATCGAAGAAGGTGTTGCATCCTTGATCGCCACTCCCCTGGATTTCGTAAAGAGTGCTGTTCCAGGCACTAGTTATCAAGGCACTGCCGTTCGCGTAGTTCTTCTCGCAGGTATCGTAGTCCTCCTGGAACTGGACCGCCACTCCGTTCAGGATGGGGTTATAATGGCCAAAACAGGACTGCGTAGTAGCAAGATCCCGAGCAGCCATCTCTTCCGTTTCCATTTGAAGTTGTTGGATCTTCTTTGTAATTGGCAACTTCAACTTGGAACCCTTCAACTTTAGGGTAACGCTTAGGCCAGAAACCAGGCCAAAAGCTAATACCACCGCCAAGAGAGAGGATCGGAAAAACATTGCTTAGTTTCAGTTATAACTTCTTAACTGGATACATTTGGTTTAAGACCCACGGCTTTTATATCCACTGCTCGAGCCTCTTATCTCTATCGGTACTAATTGCTTTTTGTATCGTGAAATGTTATGTTGCTGGCGTAATTACTTTTAATTTTACTGCGTACAAGTTAAATTACATTTTCGAAAATCGATTTTCGGAAAACTGTTTATCGCTGACATGGGGCTACTTCCTTCTTACAAAGCGAGTGATCGCGATACCTATATATACACTATATACATAGTATAGTACCAATACCTATAATTTTATCTTTAGATAACATTCTACTTGTTTAAAAGCTAATTTGAAGATCAAGTGAACGAGTTAAAAAAACAATCTGATTTAGATATTGTTTCAAAGAAGTGTTTTTTAAACGCTGAAGTTTATTCATCAAATTTATTAAATTTCAAAACGTTTTTTCTGTTTGCAAAGCCTAAGACTAATACATACATATAATATTTTGTACTCTATAAATACAGTTACTATTTCTGTTAAAGATTTTAAGCTAATAAAACATATGTATAAATTGGTTATACGGTTATCTTTATATTAAAACAATTTCCAAATCTTTCGGTCAAATATAATTTTTGTTCAGTGAAAAACATAATAGCTTTTATCATCCCATGCAAGAATATATAAAGTTACAAGACTCTATTGAGTTAAACAAGACCAATTAGTAAAACCCAAAAATATATTATGCCTGATTTTTCTTTATTACATTTTTGAATACAAGTTTTACTGCATAAAGTAATAATAATAATAATTTATAATAATTAATTATTTTTTGTTGTTGGAGCTGCGGTTGTTGTGTTTGTTGGAGCTATAGTTTGGCATGTGGTGGTGGTATTTGCTGCAGATATTCTACCTTCCAAGCAGGCGTTCAATTCTTCATATGTGTCGGCGGTGTCCTCAACATAGGAGCGATTGGCGTCATTCAGGCAAATTTCCCTTTTGGATGTTAAAAGTCTGTACTCCTCCTGGATCTTGGCTGCGATCTCCGTGGCATTGGCCGAAATGGCGTAGAACAGTTTTGCACTTTCGCCGGAATTGCTGGAGGCGCATTCGAGGCGAGAGATGACGACGTTCAGATCCTGTGCTTCTGATGTCCAAACCTGGCAGTTGGCATTGGGATAAGAGCAACCGATATTGGCAGACCTCAAGATGCTCTGGCGATCGTCTGAATACTTTTCATTGACTACAGCGGTGCCATTGTCAAAGGCCGAAATGCAGGCCCCATAGTTAACTTGAAAATCTTCCACAACTTTGGACAAAATCGGTGAGTAGATCGCGAAACACTTTCCGGAGACTTCCGCATGTGTGGCAGCCAGCTCCCTGCTCTCCTCCTGCAGCTCAACGATATGGGAGTTGGGTCTAATGGCGAAGTGCAGCTTGGTTGCGGAGACCAGGGAGACGCCCAGGAAAAGGCAAAACCTCAGAACAAAAGACTGCTTCAGAAACATCTTGAGCTGTAAACTTGGGAGGTGTGGGATCAATCACCCCGTATTTATACTAGTTTACAGCGGCCGTTCCTTGCTATCTTTTTAATTACACATTACTTAAGTGGATGTTCTAGTTACTGATATAAACACATGGTTGGCAATTTTCTGCTAATATCTTGTTGTCAAATTAACACTGAGAAATTGCTTAAGTTCAATTAAATACTGTAAAGCAAACCTTTGGTTAAGTGATAGCAAATAGTGATTTTATTATTTTAGATAATCATTTTGTTCACTCTTTTTATGCGGCAAATTTTGTAATTTGGTATTTAGTCTCAACACATTAGTTTTAATTCACAGCAATTAAAGTTCTCGAGTAGATCATTGTAAGGTTTACTTGAATGGCATAGTGCTTATCAGGAGATCTACAAGTCGATGACTGTGGCGGGAAACTGCCAGTTGGGATCGGAGGCGCATGTCCCCATATCCTCGACGCACTGGGCGTGGTTCGTCCTGTAAGTCCTTGTGGCAGTGGTAAGGCAGGCCGATCGAGTATTATCAATTTCGCGAATCTTTAGGGTCAGGCTACTTTTGTAGTCAGCCGCCTGGTCGGAAGCCGAATCAAGTGCCGAGGATTTGGAAGGTCCCTGAAGTTAAATAAAAATAAAAGGGTGAAAACCAAACTTTTAAAATCACTAGAGATGTAATGTCTGTCTTATAATTTAATGCAATATTTTGATATGTAAAAATAGGCTTGCCCAAAATTAAGACTTATGCCTTCTAGATTAATTCATATGTATGTATCTAAGATAATGTACATACATTTTTTTTATATACTTACCTCTTCTGCCAGGCAATCGAAGGCATCGCTGTTAGAGCCCTTGGCATCGCACGTCAACAAGGATACGCAGATGTCCCTAACGGAGTTGGACAGCTCGTTGCGAGGATCGCTGTAGCTTCCGTCGATCTCTTCGAAGGCCCTTTCATATACTTCATAGCACGCCCTGGAATCCTCCTCGTACTTATCGGCGTGCTGCTTGAGAAGCGGAGTGTAGTAGTCGAAGCAATCCAGGTTGAAGAACTCCGCCGATCTCAGAGCCGGAGAGCTGAGCAGGAGTTGAATCAGCTGGGTCTCGGCCTCAACCTCGAACTGAGCAGGAACCACAGCTCCGTAGACGGCTCCAATGGCCACGAAAAAAGTCAGAGCCTTGAACAACATTGTCACTTTGAACACTCGAAGAACCTGCCAAGATTGCGGCGCCCTAAGACCCAGATTTCCTTTTATACCACCACCCAGCGCACCTGAATATCTGATTTCCTAGATTTATGATCTAGCCATTATCGGGTGTGGTTTTAATTCAAGCATTATTATCATGACGCTTTTTTCGAAAGTTCGTCATAATAACAGTATCAGTGAAATCCCCGAAAATCATTATATATTGTTAAATACTTTTATAAAAAATATAAAATTGTTCTCAATTTTGTTTATATTGATGAACGTAAAAATTTCGAAAGAATTCAGAGAAAAGTGATTGCAGTGTCACTTTTTAACGTTATAAGTATTTTTTATTTAAAGTCATAGGAATTCATTTATGAGACATATCAGTTTCTTTTGATAACAATAGCTTATCAAGTTGCTACTGAGTTCAAATCTTTAAAAAGAATGGGGCTTTCTTCAAGATTCGTTCCTTTGCTGATAATTAGTCATTTTATTTACAGCTGAGTTCCACTTAAAAATGTTAGAAATATCATAAATCATATGATTTGAATTTATCTAAAAATTTTTACATGATCAGGGGTTGAAAAATTGACCACAAACAAAATGAAAAATTTAGAAGCGAATCGCTTAGAAGTTCCATAAGAAGTTTAAAGATATTGAATGAAGATTATAGATATTTTATTGACCAAAAGATGTAGATGGCGTTTTAGCAAACTTTTATATTTAACAGAGCCCTGTTGATAAATAAAGAAGGGTGCAGCCAATGATAAAATTAAGCGGAGTTCTCAACCAAATTAAACGTTTATAATACCGCTTTACAGGTTTTAATACGTGCATGTGTTAATATTTTTTTGATATTTCTATAAGTTTTAAATTTTTTACTCAATTAATTTTGGGTTTAAGGGTTAGATTTTAATATTAGATGTTATTAAAATAAAAAGAATATGTAAAAGTTATATAATATATAACTTTAAATATTCCCGCGGATTTTATGTCATTACACTTCAAGAAGTTAACCTTATCGATGGTGGCCTGGGTAAGATATCGATATTTTCCATTCTCCTTAAACATCGATAGCGCCAAATAGTCATCGATTCTTGTTCCAGCTCTAGTGCGTCATTTTGTTAATCAAAATATTAGAAAAAACGCCCTTTCCGCCTTTAAAGTGCAGCTCGCGATCGTGCGAAAGTGTTAATTACCGCGTGATTCGCCCGACAATCTAAAGAGCGCAAGACGGCGATGAAAAACACGCAGAAACACACGGTTTTTTGTTCTTAAATTTTACTTACGGCAGACACGCACACGAACTCAGCTCACCGACGCACACACACATACACGCGCACGCTGAGAGAAGACTAGTGGATGAGAAAGAGAAGAACGTGAGGAGAAGGAGGCGGCAAAAAGCGGAGACCATCAAACTTAAAATTTGCGAGGTGAAAATAACGAGAACGAAGGTTTTCCCGACGCCAAAGTTCATAAATCGCGAGTGTGTTTTCATTAACATTTTTTTCGGGGCCATGCCGGATTTACCCCACCCCCTCCAAAAATGGGACTGCCAACTTGCGTTTGTTTTTTTGTGAATGAGATATAAATTCTGGATGCTGTCGCGCGCAATTTTTCCCTTATTCCTCTGTATTTTACGAACTGTATTTACCCGCCCACTTTTGATTGCTAAATTTAGTCACCCAAGCGGAAGGACGAAGGCGCGTCCTTGATAAATCGATGTGCCAAAAGAGAATGCAGAAAAAACGAAGGGCGCAAAGGAAATAACGGTGAAAAGCGTGGGCGGCAAGCTGCCATGAGGACTTCCGCCTCGCCCCCTCTTTGTTTGCTTTTCCATGTCCTTGCAGTCGGCTTAAAATTATTGTTCTAAAATTACAGCAAAACTTGGCAAGGAAGCCCTATTTCAGACCTACTAATATGAATTATGAAGTGCCAGCTGATTCGAGTTTAAACTTCCCAAGTTGTTATCGGTATAATTGTAGTATTGAAAAAGACTCTTAGCTTTAAAGTTTAAGGAGTCCCTTTTCTAGATATAATGTGATAAGATTATAAGGGATTCAACAAAGTTCATATATATTTTAAATAATGTAATGTATATGTACAAGTCACATATTGCAACATAACAACTGTCAAGTATATATATACAACAAACAAGGCAAGATCGGTTAAATTTTGATAATAAATCTCTCCTATAGCCTTTCTTCAATTATTCCCTAGATTTTCTATAGTCATTCAAGCGTGTAGTTTCACAAAATGGCAAGTAATTATTTCATGTTTGGCAGAAATCAAAATATCTATGAGTCAACTCAATTTCCGCTGTACTTCCTATGCAGTTTTATTGGTTTTCAAAAGCTGCGAGCTTGTTTTTTGTCTTTTTTTATTTAGTAAGCCCAGAATAAGTGTTCTGATAAGTACATACTGTTATAAGTAGACTTAACCGCCTTTAACTAAACTTTTCTCGTTTGTCCCGTCATTGTTTTTTGTATCCCTCGGTAGAAGTTCAAGTTCAAGGCTTTGTGTATTGATTGGCGGTCGTTTAATATTCTCCTACCATTGTATTCTTACACGTAGAATTATTGGCGAGTCTTGACTCAGCGAACGAATTACACCTGCCCGGCACACAGCACACAGCATGTTCAGTGGACATGGGCGGATTCCTGGATAAGCCGAAAACCGCCAAGCACAATGACCAGGGCGAGGGTAACAAGCTGCTCTTCGGAGTCAGCTCGATGCAGGGCTGGCGGTCGGAGATGGAGGACGCCTACTACGCTCGTGCCGGGCTGGGGGATGCCCTGCAGGACTGGAGCTTCTTTGCAGTCTTCGATGGACACGCAGGATGCAAGGTTTCGGAGCACTGTGCCAAGCATCTGCTGGACAGCATCGTCAGCACCGAGGAGTTTATTGGGGGCGACCACGTGAAGGGCATACGCACCGGTTTCCTGCGCATCGACGAGGTGATGCGGGACTTGCCGGAGTTCACCCAGGAGTCGGAGAAATGCGGTGGAACCACCGCTGTCTGCGCCTTCGTCAGCCTCACGCAAGTGTACATCGCCAATTGCGGGGATTCCAGGGCAGTTCTGTGCCGCCAGGGAGTTCCGGTATTCGCCACGCAGGATCACAAGCCGATTTTGCCAGAGGAAAAGGAGCGCATCCACAATGCTGGCGGTAGTGTGATGATCAAGCGGGTGAATGGCACCCTGGCCGTTTCAAGAGCTCTCGGGGACTACGACTTTAAGAACGTCAAGGAGAAGGGACAGTGCGAGCAGCTGGTGTCGCCGGAACCGGAGATATTCTGTCAGAGTCGACAGGATAGCGATGAGTTTCTGGTGCTCGCCTGCGATGGCATCTGGGATGTGATGACCAACGAGGACGTTTGCAGCTTCATCCATTCACGAATGCGGGTGACCAGCGACCTTGTGAGCATCGCCAACCAGGTGGTGGACACCTGCCTGCACAAGGTAAGTTATGTTGCTTATCCGCTCCAGGAGTCAGTCAGTCTGATACCTTTTTGGTCCACAGGGAAGTCGGGATAATATGAGCATCATCATCATTGCCTTCCCTGGAGCTCCGAAGCCCACCGAGGAGGCGATAGAGGCTGAACATCGGTTGGAGAAACAAATCGAGAAGATCACAAGAGGTTGTCTAAGTCGTCTACTCTGTTTATAACTAATCGTTAACTGTTGATCTATGGCGTAGTGGTCTCCTCCGTCTGCGTGTCTTAATCGAACCGAATACGTATACAATGTACCTTGAACGCCGCGAGCACTTTTACATGGGCCTTACATGCCCCGACCTTAAGTCCTGGAGTTGATTCCGACCCTCTTTGTCCAAAAACTCGATTCCATCAGAATAGTTCCTTCCAATAGTAGTTCCAAAACAAAACAACAATACTAAGATGAATACCAAACCATTGCCATTACCAATGCCAAGAATGAAACCCGCACACACACAACTCAAGTACAGTGAAAGCTCCCTAAGGTTATCTAATTTCTTAGATTCGTTAAACCCCTATTGTTTGAAAAAGCAAAACGGGAAGTTTATGGGACATATTTCGGTGTAGGTTTATGAATTTACATTTTTAAGATTATTTGCTCAATTATGGTTATCTTATCTTTTTTTTTTAAAGAATATTAACTTTACATCAACCCAAGGATTTTTGAACTCCTAAAGATCCTTTACTGTCCATTTCCTGTAGAAACATGTAAATTGGGGGCGTGTGTGCGGGCGTAGTACCAATATCCTATCGCTAATGCATAGCGAATACCTGTATAGCGTGTTAGTTTGTCATATCTGGTGGCTGTGCGTGTGGCTGGCCGGAGTTCCTCTGCTGTGTGTGTGTGCCTGAGTTATAGTATTATTTATACATGCCTGTGTGTACTACAGCCACTGCCAAAAGCGTTCCATGTATGCGTAAATCCAGCCCATTTAGCTTTAGTCTTACATATATACCTAAATATTAACAATTATCGACAAACCAGCCCGACAAAAGTAGTTAAAATGACCCGTCAGCCAGTTTGTATATATACATTTACGTATACGTATCCCCAATTTGATACTAGCCACGATACAAATCAATCAAACAAAATGCAATATTTAACCTACGCAGGTATTGACACTCAAAACAAACACTTGGAATTGATGTAACTAGTAGAAATATCGAATTAAACAAGTATTTTGTAAGCAAAAACGGATAGGAAAGTGTCTTCAGAGAAGATTCGATTTAGGTAGATTGTAAATAAGCTGGGAAAACTGGTAGAAAGAACCTTGAAAAAGCAATGAAAACGTATATTTTATTAACTATAAAATGCTCAGACGAACTGTAGTCAAATAACAAAGATTATGTATAGAAAGCAATAAGTAGTGGGGAGAAAACTCTCTGAGACTTCAGTATTTAAAACACCAAAGTGAATTTTGGCCAATATCCAGAGGCCGAGCTTCAGACGTGACCTTGTTGATATAGACAAATACTTTAGCCCGGATTCGTACGATTTACAAATAGCAAATTAGTATATTAATTAGAGCATGCATTACCCACCAGTGGTCGCAGTAGCTAAACCAATTACGAAATTACCTAGTTTAAGCAGCTAACCAAAGATTGCAAATACTCAAATGTCCAGACGATTTACTTAGCCTAGAGTAGACTAGCCAAAAGGGTCTTGAATGTTACGTATACGTAGGTTAAATGAAACCGAATTGTAAACCTTATGCTCACCAACTGTTGTGCTTGTTGTTAACAAAGGCAAACGATTACTTTACCCAAAAACGATCAAACATATTTCACAACATCTAAGCCAGTCGCCCGAAATGTTTGTACTCGGGTTTCTTGGAGAATTCGTGATCGAGCCAAAAGTGTAAAACACACAATCCACATCCCAACATACACGATTTATAGTGATTAATAAATTACCACAGATGCAAGTCAAAAATATAACTTAACGAAAGATTCGAAAACATAAGCAAAAGTGTTTGTATGCTGTTCTATTGGATTCAGTTTTCAGTTCTCATTTGGTTTTCATACGCTTCTATTCATTTTTCTTTCACACGAATTGTATTTAATTATATTTTACTCATTACAACCGCAGACTTCGAAGGCTCATTAATGTTCTTTTAATTTTATTAATTACCCTGATTTTGAAGAGCCAGTCTTAACTAATGCATAAGGTTTTTTTAAAGTAATTTGTCAAAAGGAACATTTTAGCCATTCGCTGTCGTTGTTTTATGGTTGTTGTTCGCGCCTCGTACTACAAAACCCCAATTTCTTTTACACAATTGCCAAATCAAAGCGCAAATTAGCCAAATGGGCCAAGTGTCAATGCAAGAACAAGAAACAGAAAGCAATTCAATTTTAAGATGAGTGAGCATAAGGTACGTTTATAAATTGGTAGTTTGTAAATTTTCGAAAGCCACTTTGTCATTTTGTTATCGTTTATCTTATCAGTTTATTGGTTTGATTTTGATTTGCCTTCACCTGCCCCCGACCTGCTATAACCAGTTGTTATCTGAGTATTAATTGTAAAAAGTAATCCCCACAATACGAAATATGCATGCCTACGACAGCTAAAATTAAAATTGTCCCTCGCCATAATCATCTAAAAAATTGCTACAAAAATATTTGGTCCAGTTTTTAATACAATGTTATATCAAAAGTTGTTCATGTTATCAGGTTAATTCGATCGGATCCTCTTAAATAATTCGAAAGTCTTTTAATTTTGTTTACAACATTTTCGCTCTTTATTATTCAGCAAAATTATACGATTTTCTTATAGCTGTGTTCTACCTATCGTCCCGCATCAATATTATCTTATTCCCTTGTTACAAATTCGCTTGAGATGGCCACACAGTTTTTATTTTAGTTGAGATTTTATAACAGAGTTGATATCTATATTGCATTTGCTTTAAAGTAGCTTAACTATGTAATTGAATCCGTATTTCTTTATGAACCATTTATGTACATAAACATTTATTTATAAAAGTCTATAACGCTAAGATCGCGACCTGTGACGACCTTAAACTGACCATGGTTTTCCCTCTAATATTGTTGCAGACGAGATAGAGTCTAGCGTGATAACCGACTACGTGGATCTGTTGAAGTGTCTACAGAACAGAGACGACATCGAAGGTCTTCCACCCGGTGGCGGTCTGCAGTCCAAGTAAGTGGATCATGTCCGAAAATATCGGCCGGCGATTGCTAATCAATGGTGTTTACCTACCTTTACAGATATCACGTTATCGAGCGCACATTCAAGCAAGAGTTTCCGGATCGACCATGTCAAGTACGAAATCTGTTCTATAATCTATAACTTGGTTCGCTGCGCTTTTGCCACTGCTAACACATATATTTTTTATCGCTTGCAAAGCACAGTTTTTGGTCATTATAGCTTTTGAAATTGCCTTAGTTTTGATTTAATCAGTAGATCGAGACCAGAGGACTTGGTAATGATTGAGTTATCACTATTTTATTCGATCGCCACCTCACCATTAATCACTGTTATCGTCCCATGCTCAGTTGGGGTTTCCCTAGCCCTCGCCCTTGCCTCGTAACCTCTAATCATGGCTACCTATTCTCTTTCTTTTTTCTAGCTGTATGCATATGATGATATATGAATTTTGTAATGCTAATTGTTCATTTTAAACCAACCAACAACCAAGAAACCAGCAAGAGAACAAAGATAACTAAACACCCTAAGCTTCATATAATCTAAATGTAAGCCGATAATTCATTACGTTGCTTGAGTCACTAGTCCCTCCATCACCGAACTCCCTCCATCACGTTCGCCTTGTTTCGTTTCTTTTATGTCAAGATCTTGTCTGTTATCGCATGTTTCATCTAATTCTGCCCACTTTCGTTTCCGCTTCAGCCGCAAGCCTGCATCCTCACCATTCGGCTCCCTACATCGTCAATAATCGAGTTATTTGTTATTCTTACAGAGTCCAAGGAATTAGGTTGCAGTCGAAACACTAAACAAAACCAGTTAAACAAAAGCAGCAACCAGATCAGATCAGATCAGAAGCAGAGCCACACAACTTGAACGAAGCAAACAAACAAGAACACACACCAAACAGTTTTCTACTTTGATAAACACAAAAGAAAAACCTACTAATAATGATAATAATAAGAATTACGATACATTTATAGTTTATACGAAGCAGTCCTAAACACAATAATGCAAATAGCCACTCCCCACACAACTCTAAGATATAGGAGACATCTACAACAGAGCGTACCTGAGCAGACCTCAGAGAAATTTAAATCGGATCAAAATGAGAGGATGGCTAATAGCCAGCAGCAGCACGACACCCATCAGATTATTCCGATCAGACCCCTCTGAAGGACCCAGCCATCTTTGTGAATGTTAACCCTCTGTGTGCCCTGTCGTTCTGTCACTCCTCATCAATCAGCAATCACCAGTACAACCGTCAGTTGAAACTTCTTAAAATCCTGAAAACTATGTAGTTTAAAAAAGAGTTAAACAAAAAATGAGCGAGAGCCTCTCGCTGAAATGTTTGTGTACAAGAACTTTTATTTTTTTCAAAAAACCATGTATTAACTATTGATTCCGAAACGAAAGCGGACTTTTGTAAGATGTAAAATGTTTGTTACCGAAACTTTTTGTTCACCTTTTATATATATGAGATGATGTGTCGCCGAGCCTGAAGCGAAACTTAATAATGTAAAGTAAAAAATGTTAAAACAAAACCAGAAAAAAACGGTAAAAAAAAAACCAAACTAGCAAACAAAAACTGTAACTATCTATGTACGGAAACGAGAAAAGTAATACCTAAACCCTAAAGTAAGCAAAGCAAAACAAAAGCAAATCCACAATAATGTCCGAATGTCTTAAAGAAACAAGAATGAAAACTAAGAACTATTAATTTATAAGAAGCAAGTTGATGATGAAAATCTTAAGAAAAGCAAAATTACGCTCGAGTTTGTAGTAAATGTTGATAAAAAAAAAAAAAAAAACCAAACTTTTAATCAGTCGATTGATCCGTCGTTAAGTTGAACGGTGTACCAGTCGTATCACCTCCAGAAACGACAAGTATTATCCTTGGAGGCGGTAAGGATGGCGTCGCCTGAGTAGCTGTAGGCACAACTGAACACTTCTCCCTCGTGACCGGCGAGAACTTGGGAGCACTGACCGGATTCTGTGAGCCAAAGACGCGCCGTATTATCCGCTGAAGCCGTGAGCAACATGCAGCCGCTGGGACTGAAGCACACCTTAGACACCTCATCCGCGTGTCCTGCCATCAGGGACTGCATCTCTGGCTCCGAGGATCCCTCGAGTTTCCAAACCCTTGCGGTGCAATCGCTGCTGCAGGTGGCCAACAGTCTGCCCGCCGCATCGAAGCTAACATCCAACACCTCGTCACTGTGTTTGGCGGCTAGATAGAGTTCCTGATCCAGCTTCCGAACATCCCAAATCCTTGCTGTGTTGTCCAGCGAACCTGTGGCTATCAGAGATCCACTGAAATTCCAGATGCAGTTTGACAACTCGGCATTGTGGCCACGCAACTGATGGCTGAGACTATAAAGTAAAGTTGTAAAGGTGATCTTGTACCGAATTAAAGACCCACCTCTTGCTCCTCACATCCCAAATAGCTGCTGTGTGATCGAATGAACCCGTGAGCAGCATCTGTCCATCCCGATTGTACCGCGCTGCAATCACCTCGGCTCCATGATGAGTCAGCTGCTGGAGTTCATGGGAAGTTTCCACATCGTAAATCCTGGCTGTTCCGTCCATGGAAGCAGTGGCTATGGAGTTGGCATTCATGGGATGGAACTCCGCGGCCACCAATTCTGCGGTGTGTCCATAGAAAGTTGCCAGGCATTGACCACTACTAGAGGACCAAACTTTGGCGGTGCCGTCAAAGGATCCCGTCACAATCTTGTCGCTGGAATTATTGTATTATATAATAGTGCTTCCAAACTCTTTAATGTATAACTAAAACTTACCAATAAGGATGATTGAAGCCCACGGAGAACACCACATTGTCGTGGCCAGTGAGGATGTGTTCCACCTCAGCGTTTTGGGTGTTGATCACGTGGCAGGTGCGATCATAACTGCCGGTAAGACAGCGATCGCCACTCCGATCGAAGGACACATTAGTCAGCGGCAGAATGTGCGAGTTGTGGCACTTGTGCAGATAGAATTTCTTTTTCACCGGCTCTCTAAGTTTTTTCTGCAGTTTTTCCAAAGCCAATTTCAGGGCACTGAAAGTGTTTTGAGATCTAGCGACACTTCCACTTAAAGGACGAAGTGGAGGATTTTTCTCTGAATCTGTATGTATTTGATCCTCCTCCGCCTCAGCTAAAGTTTGCAACAGAATCCTGTCTGCCAAAGGTTCTACGTTTGTTCTGTTAAAATTGAACCAATTAACTCTTCGTTTCGTACAAAAAGTGTACTTACTTTGTATCTAGGTCAAGTAAATCAAAGTGTCGCAAACGCTCATTGCCCTTTGCTGTTCGATAATTTACGGCCAGTCCTAGGATAACCGAAGAAACATTAACAACTATTTAACACTTGGTTTAATGACCTTCCCACCTGGCGGATAGTAACGCAGGAATATTTTGTTGGCACTCATTCTGAGGTTGTTGAGACTCTGACGACTCGGAAATTCCTGCACAGCCAATTCTGCTGGTTGTCAGTTTGCTGACCTGCTTTAATTCACCCTTTGTTGTTTTGACTGGCTGCCATGCCAAAAGCATCGTTTGATCGATTCACCTTGGGTTCCTTGTACTAGGTCTATGTCGAGGTCTCGAGGGTGAGCAGTTCAAGGATGTAGGGTAATGTATTCAGATTGTATGCGGAATTTGACTTCGCCTGTCTAACGTCTTGTCTCAATTCCGTTGTTGTTGGTTGGCATTTGAAATGAACAGCGTATTGTTTTCTATCAAAGCTTTTATATCGCAGAAAAGCTTCGCGTAGTTTATTTTTCTACTTAGCTGTTCATGCAACCAAAATATGTAGAGTTTAATTTTTCTTGTATAATTGTTTTTGAATCTTTCTAAAGGCGAGTTTTATATTCTAATGCCATATTTTATGTCACAATTTAACCTTTTCATTTGATTGTCAAAATCCATAAACAACATTTTTTAATGTACCTATATAAATTGATTTAAGGTAATTCTTTTTTTGAATCATTTTTTAGTCAAGAACAACTTAATAATATAATAATAATAATAATCTCAATTATTGGTTTATCGGCTGATATCTTCATTTTTAGATCGTTTATCGTTTTCAATTTAAACAACGAAAAGCACATGAGTAATTAACTTTTCCAGTCTCGCAACTACCAACTGAACTCTCACTAACCCTTGACCTACGATTGTCCTTTGGGGAACCCTTTGGCATTTGACAGGCGGCAGGAGCGGACAGCTAAATGGTCTCTGGCCATTAAACCTAATTAGCTTGTTTAAGATGGTAAGAGGAAGCCCGAGGACCGCAGAGGCCAATTGGCTGCCGACACCTGGTCGCATTTTTAGCAGATTTAACATATGTCCCACGTGGGCAGTCACGCACCCACCCAAAATCCCCATCCACACCTACAATTAGATTGCTTCACCTGGCCCCTTTGCCCCGTTCGGTATTTTCACTAATTTAATTTGTTCAGTAATCGCTGCCTCGGGTTCGGGGCAAGGAAGTGAGCGGAATTGTCTGAGAGCCACAGGACGACAGTCTGGAAATCAAGTCAGACACCCGAGGAACGCCCATTAGCAAGCCGACGAGAAAAAAAGGCAATCGGGAGGGATTTTGGGGTCGGGGCAGAGGACAAACACCCCACCTGACCATAGCCAATAATGATAAGTAATGATTAGATATTATCGCACCCAATTTCGGTGCACAGCAGCAGCAGAACTGAAAGCGACAGGCGGGCCACGAACAAAGGAAAAACTAAATGGACAGGGAAAAATGTGAGGAAATCTTGAGAGCACTGACAAAAAACGAGAGAAAAGTTGGGGAGGAAACTCTTAATTAAATTGAGATATTGTTTGTTAAGGAATACCTTTAAGCTTTGTTTTTTACAACATTTTTTGGACCTAGTTAAAATTTTAGATGCCGATAGTCAGCATCATATTTACTTTCAAGAGTTTTTCCTTTGAGTGTCGGAAAACTGCGCAGAAAACTTGGGAGGGGGGAAAAGTGCGATAAGATGGCGAAAGTCTGTGTCTTTGTCAATAATAAAACATTTCATTGAATGTCCATTGAATGGCGAGCTCGGGGGAAATAACAACATGGAGTAGATGGAAATGGAGACAGAGGCTTCGGCTCATTTTGAGTTGGCAGGAGTCACCTGGAAGGTCATCTGCCCACCCATCGCCACCCTCTGCCAATCACCGTGAACAAAAGCAACAGCTGTATTCCTGCCCTTCCCACTCCAGAGTTTTCATCTCTTCATTTGTGTGCCCAAAGTAATTGGGAAAACCAGAGGAATTGTAGCAAAACGGAAGCTTTAAGGAAATCAGAGACGAATAAATGAGAGTACGAATGGAAATAAAATCAATTTAAAAGCCCATAAAACGCTTTCATAAACAAAGCAACAATCGGGGGCAGGCGAAGAGCATCAGTCGGATTTGAATTTATGCTCAATAAATTTTTGTTGATTTCCGGGCCTCACTCGAAATCTCTCTGTGAGTGTGTGTGTTAGCCATGAAAATGCGGCGTTGCATAAATTATAGACACACATACGGTCCTTACCTTTCACCAATAGCAACAGAAAGGCTGGAACCAAAAAAAAAAACAATTTTATTGCCGCATTTTATGCGTGTTTGTTCGACAGTTTGAGAGCCGGGTTCCTCGTTACCCATTTTGGAAAATAATGCTTGGATGGCACAAACTTGGAGGGCCCACAGCTTTTAAGCCGATAGACCAGTCGAATTAGAGGGATGAGCCGCCACAATAACCCCACATGAGCGATTTATAAACAGATTTTCGGTTCCTGTTTGACTAAGGGACATAAAACTCGAATTTTCCTTTCCTTTCTGCTTGTCCTGTCCGCGTTTGTTTGTAAACCTGTTTTATTTTTTTTTTTTAGACTTTTGTTGACGTGTGTGGCCGGTTTTCAGGTTTTCAGCTAAAAGGAGTCGTTAGTGGCTCTCTAATTGGAGAGGGAGTCTAGCTGGCTGGCAGGACATCAAACGGTTGGTAATCGAATTGCCGTGCCATGCGGCACTAAAACCATTTTCACAGATTTCGGTTTCAGAAAAACCATAGTCCTCTGTTTGGTGATCAAATTGTTAGCTTCTGTATGCATATTTGTTTACTTGGCACTTTCCAGTTTGCAGTGAAAACAAATAACGAAAGTCTTGAAATTTTATTCACATAGCACTATCAAATTTTTGTTGCCACTAGCAAAGATTAGAGATTCAGGAATTGTGACATTTAAATTGCTCCCAATATACAAATAGTTTGTTCCCCAGGCTTTAATTAACTTCCTAAACTCTTTAAACTAAAGCCTAGTTAGAGAGTAGATTTTCGTTTGTTTAGACAACGTTTTAAGTCAATAAACAACCTACAAACCTGAGCCTGTGCAAATCCCCATTTATGAAGCATTCTGCGGCTTAGCCATTGGAAAGTTTATGACTTTGATAAATTAAATTGTGCTTGGCCTAAAACACACAACCAGATCGGAGTTTGCCCAGCTATCCATTAGGTTTGAATATATCAAAGTTCTCTTTTGGCCGACAGAAAGGCAACTGGCGAAAGTTTATGGGCAAATTGTGTGCAGGCTGGAAACCTTAAACCGTTTATGCCCAATTGAAATGCAGACGCATCGAAATGTTATAAAATTTAATAATGGCTATGTGCAGGTTGCCAGATTCCCCTGCTTGTGTGCTCACGGTTTGAAGTTTTATTGTGGGCTTTATTAAATGGCAGCCGGAAGTTTGGCAGGCATTTTGTGCGGTTTAGCGGCCGCATCAAGTATACGCACCATAAATCAGGGTCAGCGCCGGCAGAAGCTCCTTTTTTCGGGACGAGCGGAGTATTAAAGGCATTAAACTCGCTCTTAAATCGCCAGCATGGCCGTTCGTCATAACGGTAAGTGGTGCTTAAAATGAATTATGCATTGCCGTCGGTTGATATAATATTAAATCATATATAAGGGTAGCCTGCCCTCCACGTGGGCAAATAAACGTGTGTGTTTTTAAGGAGCGATTGTGGCCCACGCTCGGTCGCCGAGATTTTCCTGCCATTAACTGCTCACCGATTTCAACTGGGCCGACTGAAAGATGGATGGCACGTTAATTTGTGCGCATTATATTGGCCATTTATCTCCTCTGATTTCTGCGGGGCTTCGCTTTTGGCCAAAGCTTTGGCTTAAAGGATGTATGACATCGATTGCATGCACTTGACACCGGATGACAAAGTAATAAACAATTAATTATACGTATATCGTAGCCATCGGCAATCAACAAGTTTGTTTGGCCTACACAAAGAATGCTTTACCTTAAGGGGGGAAATACAATTAGAAATTTTTTTTTTCGAAAATTTTTTTTTTGGGGTAATGTACTCTAAATATGTCTGAGAATAAGCCTTTAAAAGCATAAAGCCGTCCGGTCCTTATTTTCAAAGTTATACACAATTTAGTGAGGGTGTGTCATATGGCGGACATGCACAAAAGTAAACTTTAAACGCTTCTCCTGAAAAGTCGTGTTTTCAAAGTCGCCGTGCAATGTACAGGTCAGAGATTTTATTTTAATCGAATGCGGTTTTTTGCATTATGTTTGAAATTAAATTCTCCACACCATGAATATAACAGTTTTTCATATTTGTTTGTTATAACATGTTTTTTTTACAAACAAAGTCGAAAAAAAAACGTTATTTTTGAAATTTTTTTTTTAACTTCAAATTTTTTAATGGAAAAATAATTTTTTTCAAATATGGAATAATTCATGGTGTGCGCTGTACCTTTAAGTTTAAAGCCCAGTTGCTGTTTTTTGTTTAAGTCGTGATCCTGGACCTGGAGACTGCACGGCGCAAAGTCCTTTCCTAAAAACACGACTCCACATTATTGATCATAAATGGGCTTAATTACAATATTTTTCAAAAAACTTGACTGATTTTTATTGCTCAATAATTACCTAATAACATGCAAAAAGAATCGCTAAGATTCATTTAACACCCTACTTGCAATCCACTCCCAAAGATAGCCCTCATTTCAGGCCTTCTAATTGTATTTCCCCCCTTAAATTGTATTGTGCAAAAAAATGATTTTTCCTTTATTTATTTTCTTATTTATCTTTTATTTTCAGGGCGACGGAATCTCATATTTTATTCCTTTCTAGAGGGGAGAAATCAATTTCGCACTTCGCCCACAGGTGATAGCTTTTAATTATACGTTTGTGCGACCATTTGCAATTATGTATTCAAAATGTTATCGTTGTAAATTATAAAATGGAATCCATTAATGCATGTATAGTCTGTAGTCGCAGCCACCCATTGGAATGGTGGCCCGTCTATGCAAAATTCATTTGCCCGAAATGCTATGCAATGGGAAATGTGCATGAAATTTATGCAAACAAGCTCCGTTGGCCAAAATAGCATCGCTTGGTTGCCGTTTGTTGGCTGTTGCTTGGATGGCTGATTTCCATGTGTGCAAATGACTTTTCAAGCTGCTTATGTAAGTCTTTTAAGTTCATGCATTTTGCATCTTCCAAGCGATTTTCACAGAACATTTAGAATTTGCTAAGTTCTTAAAACTTTTTCAAAAGGTCAAAACAATTTTACAATGTAATATATTTAGACATGAGAGCATTAAATAAGTTAACAAACTTTTTAGATATTACAATGGCATATTTCTTTTAAAACCGCTCAAAGTTGATGCATTTGCTTGCAAAGTTTTCGCCCAAACTGATGAAATCAGTGTAGGTGGCCTAATATATACGTTTAAATTATTATGACTCAAGGAAATGAAGCAGTTTTGGCCCTCAAAGTCACAAATATGAATTTAATTAACATTAATTGGCTACATATTTTCAATTTGCACCTGTGGCAGCAACAGAAGTGAAACATAACCGAAGGGAAATGGTCGAGTTAATTGCATATTGCGTATACGCCACGTTTACTCAACGAGGGCCACGAGTGGCAAATGCCAAACGTTTTTGTTATTCCGTTTGCCAGTTGTTTGGCACGAGTTTGTGATTTCCCTTTTTTGTTTTTGTTTTTGTTTCTGGGTTGGTTTGTTCTGTTTGGCGTTCTAGTGCTTATGGGTAAAGTTTTCTGGTTTCTGGCTGGCAAAGTTACTTCATTGCCGTGGCATATTGGGATTTTTGTGATTCTGCAGGGCAGTGGATTGAATGAAATCCGTTAGACCGCAGTCACCACAACTTTCGCCGGCAATCTCGATCTGATATGACTTCTCACCGCCTCTAAGCTGCAATGCAGTGCAACTCAATCAAAATTTATTACACATACGCGCCGTTGTACAAAGCTGAGATGGGGAAATGCCCTATCATCTGGGTTGAGAAGTTTCTCTCCAGTTCTGGACGAGCTGTTGTTCATTTTCAATTCGTTTAATGGGTCACTTGGGCGTGCGGCCCAAAACTTTTCACGAGCTGGCAAACAAGCCATAAAAGTAAATAGCCAGCAACGTGAAAGTAGTTGGACTCATGTTTTTTGCACAGAAACTAAATAGTAGCGATCATAATCCCAAAATGTAGGGTAAAACGAAGTTTTATTTTGAATTGAATTTAAATTGAAAACAATCGTTTAGGACTGTAAATTATTTAAATTTTGGTGTGAAAACATTTTTTAGTGTTCTAAAAGTACTCTTCTTTTTTTCTGTGTATAAATATGCTGGGATTCCTCGTTGGTCCTTTGGCAACCACAAAACGCACGCAACCGCACACCTGCACATTTGTGTGCGGTCTGCAGAGAGACCACGCCCCCATCCCCTTGGCAAAATCTGCGCCCAGCGACACAGGGCACCTTAAATATAATCGCGGGAAATTTAGACATTGTTGGCATTCGTGCAAAATGATATTTGAGAAAGATAATCGCCCTAATCCAATGATATTGCTCACCCACACACCCACCAACCAGGTTGGCGGAACGAAAGTGGTGAGAGCGGTTCAAAGGACCTTAAGGAAGACGGAGGAGTAAGTCATTCAACCGCTCGTTCCTTGGGCACAAAGTTCCTCTCACGTCGCCTATTAAGCTCACTTTCGAGTCAGCCTTTGGCGTTTGTAAAATAAGCTTAGCTGCCTGACTTTCCATCGGTGTGTATGTGTGTGTGTGTTGGCCTGAATGTCCTTGCCCGTGTAAGTGTGAGTAAGTGTGTTTGCTCAGCACCCGCACGTTTGCCTTTTATATTTTCCGAGGCACATGCAACACCTCAGCACGCAGATCCTGCCCCAAAGCACTTCAGTTCCTTCACCTTCAGCGAGACTGGGGTTCTGGTTTGCTTATCTAAAATCACCAGCTATCCGAAAGTTAATTTTTTAAAGTACCTCAAATATTGTTTTATTGTGGCCCTAATCGAAATTTGATTCATGACGCCCTGAGGCGCCACTTAAGGTGAGGTCAATTTTAACGCAAAAAGTTATTTAGAGAAAAGGTAAAAGATAATTTTAACTTATCACGTTTCAGCTCGCTAATTAACCAATCGTAAAATTAGTTCATCTAAAAGTTCTTTTAAGGGAAAATCATGTTCAACCTATTAAATATTGTCTACATAAATCTTTATCTGCTATTTTTCTTGGTGTTTGGAGAAACTCCCTTGTCGCCAGGTTTTGTCTTTCTCTTTGGTTTTTATTTAACTCTTATAAATGATTTTTATTCGCATTGCAATTTAGATAAAATCACTTTCAGCAGAAGCACATTTTTCCCTTTCCACCAAGCATCAATGAAAAACTGTATAAACGTTTGTGGCAATCATTTTGGCGGCATATCAGTGGCAGTGGGTGGTCTGAATCCGCTTTGTCACGTTTTAATCGTTTTCCAGATTAAAATAAACTCAAAAGTGCATCGGGGATGTGGGTGAGCTGTGGAAATTGGAAATATATATTGCGTGGGGATTACAAAATTCAGCGATAAGTAGGATACTTTCGGACTCCTTAATTCCCGCGTAGGTGCTTTTACTGGCGTGAGTTGTTTTTCGGGCGAATTTATTGCTTGCCATCAAGCTGGTGAAGGTGCAGAATTGGCTGGTAAGCGCCACGGGGAGCAACTCGTTCGTGTTGGCACGTTAATTGAAATTCGTGGATCCCAGGTGGGGCATATTCATCCATCGACAGTGCGAGCAGCAGCAAGCGGGTAAAAGGGCCACAATTTATCCGGGCACTGATAAAAAATACATTAAAGTAAATCAAATTAATTTGAGCCTTTGTGGGTTCCTTCATAAAACAAATCAAATTTTACAAACCATTTTATAAGACAGCTTTCCATTTTATATGTTAAATCAATTCAAGGCATTGCTGTTTTCATAATAAGCTAAGAAATATTATTTCAGTATAACATATATTTTGCTGTTGAATGGTAAAAATATTATTTCATTTTATTTTACTTTACCATCAATATATCCGTTTTCCCCCAGTGAACTTTGTACGTGCCCCATGTGTGTGTGCATTCCCTGTCTGCCTGTTGTTCGCTGTGCGTTGCATGTTGCATGTTGCTGGCTGCCTCTTACCCACTCACCTCCCCACCTTGCAACGTGTTGAATTACATAATTTAAAGTTCTGCAGCTCTGCAGCTGCATAATCCCGCTGGCTGGCTGCTCCACAAGTGTCACACACATGGCTCCCGGTCGCACAGTGGTTGCGCCCATAGGCCATAAATCGAAAAATCGACTTTAAAATAATTAGTCAAAATGTTAATAATTTGTCTCTAAATTATCCATATTTTGTCATTGCAAGCTAGTTTTTACCGGAAATCTAACGGGACATTCTAAAAATATAATGCAAAGTGTGAACACGTCTTCAATTTTGCTGCTGCAGCTGCGTTTTAGTGCTTTTCGTGAAAACAAAAGTGAAGTTCAAAGTGGTCGGACGTTCGCAAAAATTCACCAAATTTAATTATTTAAAATGCATTTTAAAGTTAAAGGTATTAACTTTAAAAAATTGGTTTTATGAAATTTATCTGACTAATTACATATTATTTGTGTATTTTAGATCGATTAACCCTTTTTCGACTATTTTGTGAACATCTTTTTCATGTTTAGTTAAAGTTTTAGTTGTGATGCCACGAAATCCCACAAATAGTATGTATGTTAATGTGTTCGTCTGACTTTAAGGGTACTATATGCCTAAAATCAGCTGCAGAAATTTGCAGATGTTTATATAATCGGGAAAATACTGATGCCATTTAGCGTTTGCCAAGGGAAAGTTTTGCTTTTGTTTTGTCCTCGTCGCTCGTGTTTGTAATGTTTTTTGAAATATTTTTATTTATTTATTTCATTGAAATTCTCTAAAACTGGTTCAGGCATACAATCTGTAAGTTTGGTTTACATTTCTTGAAAAACAAAAACGTTTTTCATACTATATACTTATTTCTTTCCTATCGTTCCTATAGCAGCTATATGATATAGACGTACGATATGGCCAATTTTTTACTATACATTTAAAAATATTTTTTTAGAATTTTGGTGTAAATTTCGTTACAATAACTGAACTAGAAGTACTTATGGCCGCTGCTCAATACAAGCCCAAATACTGTGCAATGGCCGGTGTTCGACATGTGCTCCATGTAAGGGCCCGTAACTCTTGTAATTTTTTAAATTTGGATCTGAAATTTTTTGAGAACATTTTCGGAACAAATATCTATACAATAAGCCAAAAAAAATCGACAAACAAACTATTTTTTTGTTATCATAACTTTTTTGAGAAGGTTGGCATGGGAGTGGAGTTAAGCAATCGCTCCAATTTTTTTTTATTATAGTTCTATGCTTGTAAATAACTTACAGTATAAATATTAGCCTGATCTGACCATTAGAAGTGATTTTAGGACTGCTCTCTCATCAAAGCGCCACCACTGATCCAATCGTTCCTATGGAAGCTATAGGATATAGTGGTATGATCCGGTCAATTTTTTTATAATAAATTTATAATATTTTTATAGATTTTTTGTGAAAGTTTCATAGCGATAGCACATCTAGAAGTATTTATGGCCTCGGTTCCATACAAGCCCGACCACTGTGGGTCGTGGTCCTTTTATTAGATCAGTAGCTTACCGGCAGGACAAAGTTTACCCGACACCAACTTTTCCCGGGCACCGCCTGGCCAAAGGCAAAGTTGCAAATTAAATTCCTTGCGTAGACACACTCCACTTCGTTGGAAAGCAGTTAGGAGGCTAACCCTTGCATCGATATCCCGTCGTATACGTAATATGCAAATGTAATCAGTGCCCACATTTTATGTTCCTGCGTGTGTGGACGAGAGTGTGTGCTCCATTTTTATATTCGCCTGCAAGCGCAACTTTGTGCCCAAGAAAAACTCGATCCTTGTCCAAATCGATGGTCAAGTTGAAACCAAGTTTAGAGATTGTTGTTTGCTTGGTTATTTTTAGCTGGTTTAGGGTTCATGTTTCAAAAAGCTGATACATTCTAAACGTGAAGATAAAAATTGTGAAGAATAATTAATAATCTTTAGCTTACCAACATTTTATTATTTATTTTATATTTTATTAGCTCTTCAGTCGAATGATTGGGTTGCTAAACGAAAAAGTAAACAATAACGATGTTTATATTGTGTTTATGGTGTAATGTGCTTCGCAGAAAGTATACCCATCGTCATTAAGTACTGTTTGTGCAGATCTTCTTATAAATAGCAGTGTCTTATGGTGAAACGCATCAGTTATTGCTAACCATGCGACCGGTTATAATCGCAGTATTCTGGTTGGCATATATCCACGTGGCTAGCTCCGCTTGCTGCACTTCCCTGGCGATCCTTAACTTTAATATCCGCGGAGGAGTCTGCGGTGCAGTGGGGGCCAAGAGCAACGGCAGTGGTTGCCAGATAAAGATTTGCGCCAACGGAGAGGCTTTGGTGGGAACCTACTGCGGCAAGGCGGCATGTGATATATTCGGATGTGATTGCATCAAGGGCTGTTTACAGGGTAACTTTGCCCAGGACTTTCTGAAAAATAACTTTGCATACGGCATCGAATTATTGGGCAGTGAAATGGTCGAGGCTTGTTACCTTTGCCAATTCCTCGGAAACAACAGGGGAAGAAAAAAGGGAAAGTAAACATTTTGTTAAGCTCTCTAAATATGTTTCGAATTAAAATAAATTTAAGGCCTCCTATCTGCCACTGAAAGTATTTTTTAAATGCAATACTCTAAATGGAAATCGGAAATCAACAAGGCAGATCCTACCCTTCATGGTTTTTTGCTCTTTTTTCCGCATACAACATGCAAAATGGATTTTTCGGAGCCGACAGACACATGGCACCCTTACGGATATTTTTCCGCCCGCTCTAAATGAAAAACATCCGCATATGGAACTAGTTTGGCATCTGAACAACAATGGAATAAAAAATGCGGGGGCCAACCCCCCAGCTGGATATTTTTGTCTAAACGCGGCTGCCGTCGTTTCCATCTGAATGTCATCCTCCAGATTTGGTTCGATTTCATTTGCACTCGCGGCTGTCAATTTTAATCAAATCAACACGAGGCGTCCACGAACTGGAACAATTTCAAGGAGAAAATCATTTCCAGGAAAAAGTGCAGTATCCTGATAACCTTGGGGTTTATTTTTCCTCAATAAAGAATTCTCTAAACTCGAAAACGACCCATTAGCTGTCCCAAAAACCTTGTAAGCCAACACTCCTTTCAACAGCCCCTGCAAAGTTTTGCCAATTCTCGCGTTTTTGTTCGATTTTTTGTATTGGCATGATGGAAAAACTTTGCTTGAATGTGGACTTCATGCTCTTATCTCGAACTGCAAAAAACGCTATGTGGAGGTGTGTGCATTTGTCGCCTTTTCAGTAATTGAATGCTTGGATTTAATTGGAACTGCACGCCCTGTTGATTTCACACACAAACTGAATGCATACACATTATTGACAGGGCGCCGAGCTGATTCGAGTTGAGTTGAGCCGCGCTCAGGTGCTTGACACCTACCACTACACATACCCACACTGAGCGAAAAAGGGGTGTTCTTAAACTAAATAAATAAGAATTTGATTAAGAATTCAACAAAGGAAACGAGGGTTAGTTGCCTGCAACAAAGGCTTTCTAGAAGGTATTCAAAATTTAATTTAAAGACTGTGCTCAGACCTTCCACATTCCCATATATATTATATATATATTCCCTTGAGGTGAACAAGTCTGGTGAAAGTAATATGTTAATCGGTTACCTTTCTCCGTCTTAAGCAAATTGAAAATGATTTTGCACAAAATTGTTCTCCAGTGCTGCAAGTCTGCTGCTCTGGGGCATCGAATCCAGTGCAAACCGAACGTTGACTTATTCATATTGTGATGGCTTGGCACAACTTTTTTGGCAGCTTACAATTCTTGCCAATAAAATATAAATGGAAAACCGGAGGGCAACCTGTCGACAGGTGAGGTGGTGGTGTGGGTGTGGGTGTGGGTGGGTTTGGGGGGCAGACTCCCCCGAACCTAATTGCCATGGCAGCTCGTTAGCTTCAAAGAGCCCGCGGCGAAGCTGGCTAATGGCAGAGCTAATACTAAGACTAACACTAATGCCGATGCTAATGCCATTGCCCGCTGGCCGCTGGCTGCCACTCGACCTGGCCCACACAGAATTGGCCATACGGCCAGGTAAACAACACGAAAAAATATTAAATGAACCGCAAAATTGTGCAGCTGGCCGAGCTTCGACAAAAAAAATAAGAATATAGAACATCATAGTGAAAGAAGGGCGCTTGTCTGTGAATGAAGGGCTCCCGATGAGAAGCTAAATATAAATTGGCATACTTGCACCTATTGACTCGGCCTTGGATTTGATCCCGTTCCCCGCCAGCATCTGGAGTACGCACCCAGCACATTCATAAATTTTTAAAGCCCCGGCCAGCTTTGCTTTTCCACTAAGCAGACCACTTTCAATTGCCAGTCCTCCTGCTTTCCTTGTATATTTGTTCGTGTCTATATGTATGACTCCATCAAGCGCGTCCAGCCGCAATGTGATGGTCTTTGTCTGTCTTATCCACTCCTTCGTGTCCTGTCCTTCCCATTTTCGTCCTTTACTGCAGGCAGTTTGCATAGCAGCGAATGGAATAAAGAGCGTTGCCTACTTACGGGCTGAGCAATTGGCCAGCATAAATTGGCAGGCGAACTGTGCAAAAATGTATAAAAATTGTCAACAAGAGGGCGACTAGAAGACTTTCTAACCCAGGAGTTTTTTTTATTAGACATTTCTACATATAAGTTGAGAGACTCAATGAGCTTACAACTTAATTACGTGTGGAAATTTACAAATAAAACTTTTTCAGACGGTTATGAATTTTATTAAGTTTTTCTGTGGCTGTCAGACACAGTGTAGTTTCGTGTTCCTTTTTAGGAACACTCTCCCCAAGTGAGACTGCCTGAAACATGGCAATCAGGGCCATCCAGACAAACTTCCAGCCACCCAAGGCTCGGTGGACCACCCACCCAATCATCTGGATTTCCCCGTCGCTCCCCAATCGACGCAATTTGTATTATGCGCCTCAGCGCCTTTGCACTTAATGCCTTATTTGTATTTAATCGCGGCTTCCGTTTCAGTGGCATTCCACTCCGTCGCTTATTCTGTGCCGCGTTCCCAGTTTTATTCATTGGGAGTTTGAGCAGCAAACTTACAGACACAAACTCGGCTACAGATAAACGGAAAATGACACAATTTGCTGCTTTTTTGCCAGTCTCTCTGCCACTTTGCCCTCCCAATTACCCATCGCCGATGGCTGTGCTTGACATTCGTCAGAGGGACTCTCTTTTTTGGGGAGGAATACTCCGCCACTGTCGATTGTGAGCCATGTTCGATTGCCCAATGGAGCCTGTCTGCCTTTGGCCAGTTTTCAGAAAGTACTGTGTCGGAAAAACTATCCAGCTTTAACTTCCCTTTTGCCTTATGCTGTTGGAGTCAACATACTTTACTATTTCATGGATAACTTCAGTCTCGTATTTGTTGTTCAACTACAAAAGCTTTAAAAGGAAATATTTTAAGAAAATGTAATCGTTTGTCTTTGCCGACATAAGTTAAACTGTGGTTTTCTTGCATGACAACACGCCTCTTATAAACAATGGCTGTAACCTCTCTTAAATCAGTCAAAAAGGCCACTCGAGGCTTACGAACGTGGCTATTCGTTAGGCGCTACGGGCAATTATTATGTGCTATAATGTCCGGATGACGCGACGAATTTGGGAAAGTTTTTATTTGGCGGCCCGGAAGGTCCCCATTTGTTTGGGCAGTTTAAAGTTTTCGCATTAGCCGTATGACATTTACATTTACCGTGCCTCATGGCACGGAAATTAAGGCGGCCGCAGCACACAAAGGAGCAGGAGGGCTGGCATCCGCCTTGCGGTATGCAATAAAAAGCAAATGTAACGCAAAATGTTATTACGCATACGCCATGTGTGCCGCTGTGTCACCGTCGTGCTGCCCTGTTTGTCTTTAAAGGTCTGCCGTCCGCGCTTTACTCGGTATCTACACGGAAAAAATAGGGAAACAATAAAATTTTATTTTTTTTTATTTTTAATCTAAAATAAAAAATCTCTACCTTTTAATTTTATATAGTTAAACATAATTAAATGGTTAAGGCATAGAGTTTTTAGTTCTCAGAAAGTTACATTTTTTTTATCTGTATGTGAGTTCCCCCAGAATTTTCCCCGCCTCCTTCCTTTGTGTCTGTCTGTGGCTTTGAGGTCGAGCAAAGAGTCGGGCCTTGTCCTGCCCGGAGCTTTTAAAATGCCATTGTTTGCAGCTGCGCTTGGCTTCGCCCGACCCCCAATGACCTTCTCGACCCGCTCCAGGCATTTATGTTTAAGAGCAGATTTCACTCTACTTTTACTTCTGCCGCACTTTTATTATTTCACTGCAGTCCGGCTTGATCCGGTTGCCGGTTGCTTCATTATGGCTTTCTAATTTATATGGCTCAAAGTCAATTTTCCATTTGGGCCTCTTTATGGACCTGCGCTGCCGCAGTGGGCGTGGCATTTAACCAATCTGTCGACATATGTTACGGGGGCCTTGATTGATGCGCTCCCGATGAGGCGGATGTGGCTGGGATTTCAATAAAGTTTTATGCCATTTCAACGACCCAAAGAGGAGGAAAACTTTCGAAACAATAAATCACCGATGACTGCGACGACAACCACGTATCCTTCTGTCTGCTGAACCTGAACTTCTGTCCCAGCCCCTTAAAGCCTTCAAGAAAAGTAGGCAAAAATGAGGAAAGGAATGAAGATAGTATAAATAGAGTCTTGACTACGCTGACGACCAGCCACCTAATACGCTTGGGAATGGAAGTCTGATACTTTTGTGGGGCAGTTGGAATGGACTCAAGGTCGACTATGATGCACGAGACATGATGGATTAGCTGGTGTCATCACTTTCGTAATATTTGTGTTTATTATGGATTATTCGGATTTTCTTCCTAAAAGTTTCGCATTCGCAGCATTCAATCAATTTGAGGGTTGCTCTTATAAGCTTTGGGAGCTGGGCACCTGACTTGCGTGTAAATTCTTTTAAAAACGTATTTAGTATAAAACTTAGTAATTTATTTTGAATACGTAAAATTTTTTTAAAACTTATAAATTAAATCTTAAGGATTCCAATCTTTAGAAAGAGAGCATCGCAGGTTAAAATCCAGATAATTGAGTTTCAAGCCCTTCTTGTAGATAAATTCCGCGCTTTTTTCGTCAATTTTAGCAACGATTTCAATATCGTCTTCGGTTTTTCGACTTCCATTTGGGTTATACGCAATTTTATTGTCCATCGACAAGACGCACCAACTGCTGGTATCCAATCCAATGTTATAGTGCTCGAGAGTCTTCAATAAAATAGGCAAATATTGTCTTTCTACATTTTGCCAGGTAAAGGTGCACTGGAAAGGATTTTCACTATAATGTCTATGGATATCAGATTCGAGTTCAAGGGGATCGTCAACATCCATAGGCTCCATGTACAAATTAATAATTATCCTCAAAAAAATTTTATAAAATAAAATTAAAAAGTTTTGCAAGCAAGATGTGTTTTCAGTAAAATAAAAAACGAAATAAGTGTTGTTGGAGAAACTATAAGTCAAAGTG